AGATTTTATCTGTATTCAGTTTTATTATTGTACTACACTCAGACTTGAGTGTTTTATTTTATTTTGCTTGGTAATTCACTTTGTTCTGTCTGCTACTACTTGGAACCACTTAAATCCGACTTTCTGTATTTAATAAAATCACTTTTTACTTATTAATTAACCCAGAGTATGTATTAATACCTGGGGGGGGGGGGCAAACAGCTGTGCATCTCTCTCTCCATCAGTGTTATAGAGGGAGAACAATTTATGAGTTTACCCTGTATAACCTTTATACAGGGTAAAACGGATTTATTTAGACCCCATTGGGAATTGGGCATCTGAGTGTTAAAGATAGGAACACTTCTGTAAGTTGCTTTCAGTTAAGTCTGCAGCTTTGGGACACGTGGTTCAGACTCTGGGTCTGTGTTGGAGCAGACTGGCGTGTCTGTCTCAGCAAGACAGGGTGCTGGAGTCCCGATCTGGCAGGGAAAGCAGGGGCAGAAGTAGTCTTGGCACATTAGTTGGCAGTTCCCAAGGGGGTTTCTGTGATCCAACCTGTCACAATAAGGGGAGCAGGTTAGACAGGGATGGTCTACATATTCTGCCTCAGCAGGAGGGTGGGACTTCAGGTCCCTTCCAGTTGGACATTTCTATGATTCTATCTGGTCTGGCTGCTGTCAGTGACAGGATACTGGACTATATGCACCACAGGTCTGATTGAGCCTGGCAATTCTTGTGAAGCCAGATTCCCTGAAGGTTGGATAAGCAGGAAAACATGACACACATTAGAAATTCAGCCTCTCAGACAGGTAGACATTTTTCAGTTTCTATCTTATAAACTCTGTCATTTTTGTACTGTTGCAGCCCCTGTTTCAGGGCTAAGACATTCTCTCCTCCCAGCAGCACAACTTAAGAATAAGCTGACATTTCCCACAGGGTGGAAACCCAGGCCACCACCAAACCATGGTCCAGACACTAAACTGAATTGAGTGTTGCTGAACTGACCCTGTTATACTGTCTCCCCTGCTCCCTGCCCCTCAGCCCCAGCCCACTTATTTGTTCCATCTTACCATTTTACTTTTAGACAGTCAGATCTTTGGGGGCAAGGACTGATTTATTGTGTGTTTGTACAGCACCTTGTACAATGGAACCCAATCCGATTGTGGTGTTTGGGAGTTAGCACATTATTAATTATTATTATTATTATTATTAAACATGTAAAAGATGGTTGAATAGCTACACAATGTTGAAGCAGCAAGTAACATTTCTGCTCTCTCAGGAAGGAGGAAACCCAAATCCAGCACTGTGAATTAGCAGACCCAGGTGCAACAGTAACAGATATTCCGTGACTGGGCAAGGTTAGGTTGCACTAACATTTAAAATGTATACTTACAAAGTAAAGAGCAATGTAAGAAAGTGTAGGGGATTGAATTACTAGAGCCAAGTTAAAGTTCATTCTGAATCTGCTACAGCACGAGGGCTGACCAACTTCTCCCTCCACCAGGAGGGGCTGATGCCTTTCTCCAACCCTCTCCCTAGCACTAAGACGAGCATTCTATGCACATATAAAAGATACTATAAAAACACCACAGACACTAAGGAGGAAAATGCCTAGTGAATTGAAACAGCTTCAATTAAAACTGTCGGCTCCTTGTACCTGTAGTAATGCCAGGTCAGCATCCTGAGCCAGCTGCTGCAGATTCTTCACAGCAGAGGTAGTTTTAATCACTCTCACCAGGGCCGGGGAACAGTCCAATGGGAGCTCATTAAGCAACGATTTCTCATCATTCAGTAGTAATAAGGCATGGTAAGGCCTGTAGAAAGAACACGGTCATCTGTAATTGCTTCTTTCTTGAAGGATCAGCTACCCCTCACTATGGCACAGAGCTGGAGCATGTGGTCAAGCTACTGGCAAAATAGACCATCTGATACTGTGATAGCTATAGCTAAGGACTATGTTCACAGTTAGTTCATTCTCGTTTATGTCAAGACAAGCTGCCTTCTGTCAAAAACAGTCTTAAGCCTCTATCACCATTTGGAAAGCCTAAAAGCTAGCCAGACAGGTGGACAGATTGTGGTCCCAAGGGAGCAGGGATGAAATGCACACACCTCACTGTGTACTGCTGATCAGAACTGGGCACTAAAAATGAAAGTAACGCAGCAGGTGACTTTTGCAGCTAAACCTCCATGGAACAGCGGGAAACAAAAATGGGACCGCCCCCCCCAATCTACAGGAAATACCAATCCTTTCGAATTTAGATACTTCATGGAACTGTGATATGGACTAGAAATCACTTCAACGTGAATATGGTTAAAATGAAATGTTTGCTTTTAAGGATGGCACTTTGAATGGGGAATATCTTGCAATAACCTCTAAGACAAGATCTTCCAATTGTAAATAATGCAGACGCTGGCTGCTGCATTACTTTAAAACCTCAGCATTGCCACTGAGTGTGTTCAGTCAACAACAGTGCCACAAATACCTGAGGAAAAAAAGTCTAGGCACAAGAGAACAGGCTGGGGAGCAGAGCTTGGTTTCAGCTTATTATCACCATTTAGAGAACCAAAATGGGCTCTAATTTTCACATCACAAAGACACACAGTCCATTTCCAGGAACTGGGAGCACAACGAAAAAAGTCAATCTTCATTATTTTCTGTAACATTTTTCAGTAAGGCTGTAAAACGTTTGGGTCAATCGGAACAAAGGGAGAGAAGTTAAATGTTAGTGTTAGAGAGGCACAAGAACATTTGGGCACTGAAGAACAGGGTATATTTACCTAATAGCTTTCAGGCTTCTTTCAATCGCTTCAGGAGGTATAAAGCTTGTTGCAACATAATGGATTTTATGAGGCAGACAGAAACTCACTTCAAGCCAGTTGTTGATGTGCAATCGCACCACCCCTGTAGTACAAAGACTTAAAAAAAATAATAATAATAAAAAAATAAATACAGCATTTGCTGCCTCTCTCGAGTAAAAGCAATGGGCCAGATTCACCTGTGCTGATGCCAGAACAAGATAAGAAACTGCACCTCCCTCCTTTCAGCAGCTGCCAGGGACCAATTTGACTCTAGTACAGGGGTGGGCAAACTTTTTGGCCTGAGGGCCACATCGGGGAATAGAAATTGCATGGCGGGCCATGAATGGTCACAAAATTGGAGTTGGGGTGCGGGAGGCGGTGAGGGCTCTGGTTGGGGGTGTGGGCTCTGGGGTGGGGCTGGAGATGAGGAGTTTGGGGTGCAGGAAGGTTCTGGGATCGAGGGGTTTGGAGAGCGGGAGGGGGATCAGGGCTGGGGTAGAGGATTGGGGCGGGGGTAGAGGCTCAGGGGTGCAGGCTCCGAGTGATGCTTACCTCAAGCGGCTCCCGGAAGCAGTGGCATGTCCCTTCTCCGGCTCCTACGTGGGGAGCAGCCCCCGACCCTGCTAGAGTGCCGGAGCGAGGCCATGCAGCTGCTTCCAGGAGCTGCGTGGTACGGCCCCAGAGCCTGTGCCCTGGAGCGAGGCCAAGCGATGGCGCCCCTGGCTGGAGCGGGTCCAAGCCGCGTGGTGCGGCCCCCGACCTGGTGCCCCCGGCTGGAGCGCTGAAGCGGGGCAAGCCCCAGACCCTGCTCCCCAGCTGCCCACCCCTGCCCTAGTCCATAAGGCAGGGGTGGGCAAACTACGGCCCGGGGGCTGCATCTGGCCCTCCAGATGTTTTAATCTGGTTCTCGAGCTCCCGCCAGGGAGCAGGATCGGGGCTTGTCCCGCTCCGGTGCTCCAGACGGGGAGCGGGGTTGGGGGCTTGCCCCGCTCCGGAAGGCTCCCGAAAGTAGCAGCATGTCCCCCCTCTGGTTCCTACACGTAGGGGCAGCCAGGGGGCTCTGCACGCTGCCCTCACCCCAAGCACCGCTGCCGCAGCTCCCATTGGCCAGGAACCACGGCCAATGGGAGCTGCAGGGGTGGTGCCTGCAGACGGGGCAGCGTGAAGAGCCGTTTGGCCGCACTGCCACATAGGAGACAGAGGCGGGACATGCTCCTGCTTCTGGGAGCTGCTTGAGGTAAGCGACGCCTGGACCCTGCACCCCTGACCCTCTCCCACGCCCCAACCCCCTGCCCCAGCCCTGATCCCCCTCCTGCCCTCCGAACCCCTCGGTCCCAGCCCGGAGCACCCTCCTGCACCCCCAACCCTCCATCCCCAACCCAGTGCCCCCCCCCCCACCCCGCCCCCCCCCCCCCCCCACACCACCTCCCTGCCCCAGCCTGGAGCCCCTTCCCGCACCCTGAACTCCTCATTTCTGACCCCACCCCAGAGCCTGCACCCCCAGGCGGAGCCCAGACCCCCTCCTGCACCCCAACCCCCAGTTTTGTGAACATTCATGGCCCCCCATACAATTTACATACCCAGATGTGGCCCTTGGGCCAAAAAGTTGGCCCACCCCTGCCATAAGGCCTGCTTTAAATTGGTCTCTTATAGGCTATTGCATGGTCACAGAATCATAAGAGTGCCCCAACCACACTCCCTCCCTCCTCCAGCTGGCCCTCACCCCACACCAATGCACCAGGGAGGGAGGGAGGGAGGGAGGATCTCCTGTAAATGTGATGCAGAGGCCCTGTGGGGGGTGTTCCCGGGGGAGGTATGGTGGGACTGGATGGCACACAGGGCAATGATGAATTGGGCCCAATGTTTCCATCATAATTTTACTGCACGATACAGAGGGAGGGAAGTTCCCCTACTACGCATAAGGCATTACAGAGCAACATGTCACCACAACACTGATTCCATAGATTCCACCTAGGTGGTTTGTTTCCCATTGACCTGCTCCTGCTTGTCACAGGAAATCATGAAAGTTGTTGTTAAATAGTTCCTTCATTCTAGGAAACCACAGCGTCTAAAACTAAACTTTTAAGCTTACCCAAGAGAACAGGATTGAAGTGGAGAGAATATGCACTTCAGGAATGATAATGAAGTTTGATCTCAGAGTTTGGCTGGAAAGCAGCTTTAAGTATCTTTTATTTAATACCCCGGAAAGCAGGACACACAGCAAGCAGGGAGTTTGGGGCAGCCAACTTCACTCAAACAGATCTTTGTTCTTGTTTTTAGACGGTGACATATTTACTCCTTATCTTTATGGCATTCACTACCTCCACCACCCAAGTACAAGCACACGTGGGTAAGACACCCCACCCTCTGTATTAGAAAACATGTCTGCTCAAAAAGCCATTTCTCGTGACACGAGTGTGCTGGTTGAGGCCATGAAAAAAAGCTGATGTCCCATCCACAGCAGTTGACATCATTTACATTAAACAGTTCCTAAAACAGAACCTGAAAATCAATTCAGGACATGGAGCCCTAAAACACTGTCTCTAGCTGTAGAACTATCTGGATTCAGAACCACAGCGGTCACCCAAAAAACCTCAGTTCTCTCTGGATTGCATTTAAGTTTGTTTGTTTTTTAAATACATTACACAATATTTTCAAAAAGGTTCTATATTTAAATTATTTCTCTGACAAGCTGTGTTCAAAGCACACTCACCAACAAAGTTATTAAAACTGACCAAGCTAAGCACTGCACATGCCAAGAAAGAGGCAGTTAATCAACCTCAAGAGGCTTGGATAAGGGCAGGCAGTGTCCCCCTTCCACTGGATTTTCAAAACCACAAAACACTAAGAATAAAGTTGTAAAGTCTTTGCCAAAGTCTCACTTCCAGAAAACCCAAAAGGAAATGGCATCTATGGAGCACCACCTCTGCCAATCGAGGGCTCCCCTTTGGGAATTGATCATTTGCTCTAAAACATTTCAGAGTGGAAAAGAACCAAATCAGAAAAAGAACTTAAATTTACCCAACCAGGGTGAAAGAGGGGTCACACTAATCTCCTGATTGCTGTCTAGTTGCCAGGTTTTTGACCAGTGGGAACTGGTGGTTTGCAGGCTGCTCTGCTGAGGGTGCTAGTGCAGAGCAGAAGGGGAAGTCTATTGCCAGGAGCAACTATTAATCAAAAGTGGGTGCCTAAAATTAGCTACCTAACTACATTCAGAGCCCAGTTTTTAAGTTTAAAAATTTAAAATCAAAGTGTACCAGAGAGATTTGCAGTGATAAGTGTACGAACAGGAACACAAGAACATTAATTCTCAATTCTCAGAGCCAGAAACCAAAGTCCAATAACTTTGTTAGTAGTTTTTGGAGCTGTGCTTTTTCTTTGTGCCAGACACTAGTTCTCAGCAGAAGCAAGTCCAGTAATAAAAGTTTAACATAGAAACGGCCCCAGAATTTCCCTTTATCTCTGTGCAAAAAGCATTACAAAAACACACTGCACCCAAAGCCCTGGGGTGCACTTCACTGCTTGGCAGTGGCCAGGCTGGGAGGGTGTGTGTGTGTTTTTCCTCTGATGCCTTCATTTTATGTCAAACTTCAAAACAGACAAAAATAAAACAAAACAAACAAGAACACCTTCATTGAAAATCCCATTTTAAAAATTAAGCATCGCAAAGTTTCATTTAAATAAATTTCCTAATTATTCTCTGAACAGGTGCACATGGGCATTTTCCTACCAACGTGACTCAACCTAGAGCTGGCGAGCCCAATTCTCAGATTAGATGATAGTTCAGTATAAAGCAGGGATCAGCAACCTTTGGCACGCAGCCCGTCAGGGAAAGCCCCTAGCGGGCCGGGCCAGTTTGTTTACCTGCCGCTTCCGCAGGTTCGGACAATCGCAGCTGCCACTGGCCGCGGTTCGCCACTTCAGGCCAATGGGGACTGCGGGAAGCAGCGCGGCCCGAGGGATGTGCTGGCCGCGGCTTCCCACAGCCCCCATTGGCCTGGAGCAGCGAACCGTGGCCAGTGGGAGCTGTGATCGGCCGAACCTGCGGACGCGGCAGGTAAACAAACCGGCCCGGCCCGGCCCGCCAGGGGCTTTCCCTGGAGGTCCGTGTGCCAAAGGTTGCCGATCCCTGGTATAAAGCCTTCTCAAATTGCAGTCATTCTTCTGAGACAGCCACCAAAGGAGCTAATTATGAGGCGTATGTGCTTACATGCTCCTTATGGGCACATGAGTCCCATCAATAGCACCACCACCGTTAGGAAACAGGGTGGGCAGAAGAGTTTCCCCACAGTGCACAATGTTCCTAAGGCTAGAGTGTCGACATAGGGTGGAGGTGGGGGGGCGCTAGACACTTCAGGATACCTTTACTTTGATGCGGGTCTGTGCACTGCAGTGTGGACACCAGAACCCAAGGTTTGAGCATGGGTCAGAAAATTCTTAACCTAGGGTTAAAATGCAATGTAGACACTCAAGCCCAGGGTTCCCTGACACAGGTCAGCTAACAAGTCCCACTAACCCTAGGCTTACATTGCTGTGTAAACAATAGCCTAAATTACCAAATATTCCACCCCAAGCCATGAATTTGCATAACAATTTTCAAATTTATCTGACTGTATGTAGTGTTTGCATAAGTCTGAAATGTCAGCTTTAAACTGAAGCTATGTCGCAGGTTTAGCTAGAGTGCCACCCCATAACACAGCAGTAGTGGAGCAGAACAGGATTCTGTTGTGTTGTGCACCATCAAACTCGTTAGCTAAGATCTCACCCCAGAATCATTATTACTGGTAATGATTTGAGCTGCAGAAATACCACAGCTTTACTCTCAGATCCCAGGCTGAACTTGAAGTCCTGGTTGTTAGAAAATCCATTACTTGTAAATTGAGCAAATTTGATATTGAAGCTACTGAGAGTTGGAAGCCACTCTCCCACATTCCTCAATCCCACATCCAGTCAGCAGCCAGAAGCCTTTAAAGGGCATCCAAAGTTACACCACAGTACTGCAAACAAACTGGTTTTTCTTGGACTTAAAGGATGAAATTTAAAACACACTTGTTTATCCTGGCTAAGGAAGACCCAGCAGATTCACTTATAATTGACATACATTTGGTAACATGCCATCAAGAGTGAACTCTTAAAATACAGCACAGTCAAAAGGTATTCTGGATATAACATTCACTCACACTATTTACAATGCTCAAAGGAAACATGAAAATAAAAATGGACTGCACAGAACAAATTATTAGGGGTGGGATCCACGAAGGGACTTCACAGTCGACATAAGCTGTGAAATTGACAAAAATGACAGCAAACAGCAGATGTAAGTAACCTGCAATGTTTACAAGGACACTGTCACCCTAACACCGACATAAGCCCTACAACTCTTGTGGAGGTGTAATTATGATGTTGGTGTAGCAGGGCACTTACATCAGTGGGAGAAAGGCTGTAGTGTGTACACTGACATAATTAGGTCAACCAAGGCTAAGTAAGAACATCTGAATCCAAAATTCGATTTATTCAGTTATCTACATTAAAAAGAGTGAGTAATAGTTTATATACGGTAAGTGTCCACTAATTTTGGTTGCCTACCGTGACGCCTTGAACATGATTTTCAGAGGTGATGAGCACCACAGTTCCAATTAAATTCAACACAGGCACTCAGCACTTGTGGAAAATCAGGTCTGAGATGTCCCAAACTGGGCATCCAAAATTGATAGATACTTATGAAAATTTTGGCCTTAACTTCTGCATCTCTATTTCTCCATATGCAAGATACAGATAATTATATCTACTCACCTTTTTACAGCACTTCATCTATACGTAGAGTGTCCTATAGACATGTTTATTAGATGCTATTCAAAATGTACCCTAGGAAGGGGATTATAGGCTTGTGTTGGTAGCCTTCTCTTTGAAATACAAAGCAGTAGCCATTTGGAGCCTTGAATAAGACGTACCCCTCTTTGCATGTACACTACTTGTTATCTGTTATTTATGGCTTTTGTACCAAACATTGCTATGCAGTATGGCTGTTACTGTGTTAGTACATTGGCCTTATTGATGTGGTGATGTCATAATTCTATTGACCTTGTAGTAGCCTCTTCTACTGAGCCATGGAGACCAGTTTGTGTATAAGTAGTCTCTTGGGTATAAGCTTGTCTAGATGACTAGTCAGTGTGCTGCAAGGTGACAGGGTAGGCCCACTGCTTAGTGAAGAGGGAGAAACAGTAACAGG